GGTCGGGATAGACACATGCGCGCTACAACCGTAATATAGCTGCAACGTGTCTCTACCACGTAGCAAAGTCAATCCGTCTCGTTACAAAACGTGCTATATTGATAGTCTCGGTTTTAGACTATGGTTTAAGAATAACCCGGTTAATTAAAAAAAGTCCTTTAAACACGGCGACACTTCTCATATTTCGAATTCCATACTTTACATATTAGTTCATAAATCGCTGCGGATCATCTCTCGTGTAACCGATTCTAGTTTAAATTTGACACTAATTATTAACTACTTGTTGTAATAAGGCCGAATACGACGCGCTCGACGAAGAATATCGAATATTCATAGAGAAGTACAACCGCAGCCACAGACCTGTAATGCAGCAGTTCGGCGTATATGTAATAACTTATATCTATTTTATATTATTCAACCGACTTCAAAAAAGGAGGAGGTTTCCTCGGAATCTTTTTTTATGTATATTCAACGATTATTCAAAGACGCCTAAACCATTTAAATTCTTTTTTATAATAACTTTTTATATTGAGGTGTGTTGCACAGAACTTTTAATATTACTACTTGTATGTCAACATGATGACAGCCCAGCAAAAGTCCACTACTGTACGTAGCTCTCATTCATAGAGGGTCAGGGTGCTGGGGACACGAGCACACAGTTCACCTGGTCGTAAGTGGATGTTGTGGCTCGTAGAGTTTACAATTAAGAAGCAAAATGCAGTTGCGTAGTCACCCCTGAGGGAAGCGATGGAATGACGAAGCATTCCATCGCTTCTTCGTGATCTCGGTTCTCCTAGCTAGCCTTAAAAACGAGAGCGACATTGTGCAGCTGTCGTGCTGGTGTTCTGTGCCAGCGCGGTCCTTCGAGTCGAAACATTCGGGTTGAAGCGTGGCTCTACTTGAATTAGTGTTACAGCCTATTAAAGTCCACTGCTGAACACAGGCGTCCCACAGCTTGCCTCAAAGGGGGGATTTGGCATAGTTGGCACGCTTGGCAAGCGAGTTGGCAACCGCATTGTTTATGTTTAGTCGTTATAAGGAAAATGCTGCTGCCCATCTCCTGCTTCAGTTTCCCTCTGTCGCCTCACGGCATCCACACTATGATATGAGCTAGTGGATATTCTTACACCGCCACCATGTTCCATAGCCCTCTAAGAACTTAAAGTAGGTCTGTGCCCAGCTGTGGGAACTATAGACGTTGATAGTTAATATTTCTTTTATTTATTAAATATATTTGCTTAAAACATAGATAGATAAGGATAGTACAATTTTTAAAGCACACATGTTTTGCTATATGATTGTAAATGGCATGCAAATTTACATGCAAATAAAAATTTTCAAATCAAATCTTATTCAGTACAATACAATCAGACTAAAACAAATAAAAACATAAATAAAATTAAAAAGATATTATTTACATTTAATTAATAGATACCTGATGTCATAAAATTGATTTTCAATGAGATAAATTGTTCACCATTTCCTCTCACTTATCTATCAGCGCAGCGACAACGACTTCTGGTTCTGGGGACTTGAAGTCACACAAAATTTTAACTTGCATGGACTGAAGAGGGACCGACAAAATTCGGTATAGTTGAGTGTAATCATTTTCCTATAAGTATCATTCCATTTAGAATTGAAATATAAATTATTGGTTCAGTTAATTTTAGTTTGAACGAAATCTAGTGTCTGGCGGAAGGCCGAATTCTAGCCGATGCCGATTAATAAGCTGTTACAAAATAATATACTGTTGCTCGCTATAATTAGCGCCCGATATATGGCAGGTGATTATTAGCGCCATCTGGTATCAAGCAGCAGAAATAGGAGCGTCAAGATCTTTCTAGAACTCTTCAATTAGTGCTATCTATTATCGAATATAAGAACTAAGCTCTCTGGAAAACTCCATACTCGAATTTTCTACACCTAGTCGGTCGGGACTGGTATTTGCTGGAACTCTAATCACTTCTAGTGTTGTGTGCGGCCTGAGAAAAAGTGTTAAGTGTGATTAATTATTAGTGTGTTTTAAGTTTAAATTGGTGCTCGGTAATTAAAGTGTCAATTTTGGTAATTCAATCGGCAGTATTTATTGTCACGAACCCTAAGCTCGTAACAATACTATTATAATGGTCTTTATCAAAATTTGATATCTATCAATTAAAAAGATTAATAATCAAAGTTAAACACTATTATGTTGCAAGCCGAAGTTGTATTTTTGGCCGAAAGTGACCGAAGCTTCCGTCGGACATTAAGTCTCACATAAACAAACGATGAGCAAAATACATGAATTTAGTTACTTATTATTTATATTAATATTAAATTAACAGTAACACTGATTGTAGTTTGTATGATATTGTTTTAACTAAAAAAGCTTTGTTACTATAGCCTATAGTCTTGCAATTCACGAAGTCGAACGGGCTTTACTCGCGGTTGAACGTGTTTTTTTATACAATAAGGGCGACAAACGAGTCTACCTGATGGTAAGTGGATCTGTGGCCCATAGATATCTACATCTATCTTCAATTAAAATCGAAATGCAGATACGTCGTCACCCTTAAGGACTAAGATGAAATGCCGTGATCCCTCCCCGGTCTAGCCAACCGTTCGCGCTACAACCATAGTAGCTGCAGCGTGGCTCTACCACGTATAAACGTGTACAATGTACATGCACATTGCGATAGTGTGCGTGTGTGACGGAGCGATCAGTACTTATCATACACGTTTTTTGCACATAATAAATACGAGTACTACGTACTTTTGGTGTCTCACATACACTTTGACACGTATACACACACATACGTGCTTACTACAAGTGAAGCCCGCTCGACTTACGTACTATACGTAGTTTTAATAGTATTGAAGTAATATTATAAGTAAGGAATATTTAACCGTAACAGTATATTCATTCATTTTTAATTGTTAAGTAGTTTGTGTTGTTATTTCATTAAAATTTTTATATAAACAATTTGTTGGAGCTGTGCATAGTTGTAGTACAAATAAGTCGGCTCGACCGTGGAAGGACTATGCTCACAGAATACCAGCATAAAATAGCAGTTTAATGCTGCTGTTTCGTGTGATGAGGATAGATGTAGATGTCTATGGGTCACAACATTTACTTACCAACATATAGACTGTGTTCGTTTCCACTCATAATCTATAAAAAATATTTAATAAGAATATAGCTTACATTTTTTATTAATAACGCTTTCAGCGTTACTGGTATTCTCGTTAACTACTCTCAAACTGAACTAGACTGAACGCTAATGCTGGGGTTAATCACGAAAAGTCGAATGGCCGACTTTAATCCGCATTTAATGAGTTTCCTAGTCCGTGGCCCTAATCGACAGACTACTGTCGTTTTCACTGTTGTTACCAAATACTTTGTTACCGATACGACTTATGTTGACAGTCCAGTGGCGGGGTGAGAATATCCACTGTCCCGTATCGTGCCGCGGGTGTCGTGGAGGCGACAGTGAAAAGCTGAACAAGGAGATGAGAAGCTACATCTTTCTGAGAACAATGATCTGCCGTTGGCAGCCCGCCTGCCAAGCGGGGCAACTTTGGCGGAATGGCCTCTACAAGCCAATCTATAAGGGGGGCCTGTGTTCAACCGTTTGGTTAGCCCATTGTTAGAACCTATATGTTCAACAGGCTGTAATGAATTAGATGATAAGACTTGGGTACCTTCAAACCTACACGATCTTTTTGTGAAGGCCAGTAGTTCCCTGTAGTTGCAATTGTTTATGGATACATTCTTACCATCATATTTGTTAGAAATGGAGTACCCCTTCAGCTATACCTGCAGGGTAAGATCTGACGGTGGGATCCATGAGAAACTCATGAAACTCCAGAATTTACAAAATCATCTGCACGAAATATTGATGAATAATTCTTTACCGTGTCAATCGATTTTGATCATTATATTCTTTTTATCCGACTGCCCCAAAAAGAGGGTAACGTTTTACGAGTGCAGGTATGTACGCATGTCTGTGGCTTTAGTCCAAATAGCTCAATGGATCTAAACATCTGGGTTGTCGTTAGAATTAACTTAGTTGTATAGGTGACTAAAGATATAAAACTTTTCTCTTTTCGGTAAACGTTTTTAAGCAGCCAGGTTTATTAATAACTGTATTAACCTTTGGACTTAGTTTAGTAGTTAGTTTTTTGAGGTCGGTGTTTGCTTTAAAGTAAAGTTAAATTATAAACGGTTAGGATCCAATATTATTTTAGTATATTCTATGCAATACAATTCCACCTGGTAGTAAGTGGTGGTGTAGCCTAAGATAGTGAAGCGCATTGAATTAACAAAAGCCTGTTCACTCTTGCCTTAAAGACACCAACATTGCAAATGGATGGAAAGACAAACGCTGGCAACTTATACCACTACTTTGCTGTATGCATCACGAACTGCAGAGTTATTTAAGTCAGCTTGTGATATATATCCACGAAACACTAGAGATAGTAAACGGCTTGTCTTAGACCATAAACCAAAAACTTCTGTCTACCAGAAAGGTTGTTACTGTATGTGTGTAAAAATATTTAATAAAATTCCAAAGCAGTTCAAACACGGTTCAAAACATGATTCTCATGAACAAAAAGTTACGTGAATGGCTAATAAGAAAATGTTATTATAGTGTTAAGGATTTTCAAAATGATAATAATATGCATGTTGACATATGACAGACGTAATTGCTGTGTATCACTGCGTATCACTATTTTATCAGACCTCTATTTTTGATTGAACGTATTTAAATTTTAATTATGATACTGATATAGTAAATTATTGAATTATATAACTTACATTTAATAACTTGACATATTAAAATCGACTACCATCTATATTATTTGGTAATTTAAAAAAAAGTTTGCATGCCGTATCTAATGGCTAAATAGGTCTTTATTAACTTATTTTTATTGTAAAAACCTATCACTTACCCTATTTATGTCAATTAAATAAATTTGATTTTTTTTTAATATTCTAATTATCTTTCTTTTGTTTCCAGCATACGATGCCATCAGACAGCGTAAGCCTCGAGGCTTTGCGCAGGGCAGCCCATGGTCCCAGTGAAGCTGAGAAACGTGAGGCCGAGCGTCGGAAAGCTACGCTGAACAACACCTTCCGAACCGCGCCCTTCGACTACTTACTGCACTTGACGCAACCCAAGGTATGCTACTCACCTAGAGAATCTTTAAAATCACAGTTAGTACAATTGTTCACAGCTGAAGATTAATTATTTGATAAAAAGAATGCAATTCCCTTTTCTACAGAGAATTATTTTGTGTGTGTGTTTTTTATTTCAATTTTTATACTAAAAAATTTAGTATACCTCTTTTTTATTCCTACATTTTCATCCGCTTCTTAGTTGTGCCCAAACTTTCAAGTTTCTAGTTCATCAGGAAGTGCTTGAAATGTGAGCTGCAAGGTCCCGGAACGACAAACAGATAAACAAGAAAGTAACTTAATAAAAACTTGGTAAAAACAAGCGACATTTCCTTGGCCTAAAAAATACAACAATTATTTAGTACTCAGAAATAAGAGGCGGCCTGTGGAACTTTTAACTACTCATCATAAGTTTGAGTACGAACTATATTGTATTGTAAAATAGAGATCATATATATATATATATATATATATATATATATATATATATATATATATATATATATATACTGAATGGGTCCCACATATATGCCATAAATGAAACCACAAGTAATACTAGTCCGTAGAAGTGTAGAAAAATTAAATATTAAATTAAAACCCGTAAAATAAAAAAGTGAAATTTTCAAACAAAATAAATATTAAAATAAATTCAGTAAAAGTGAACACTCTGTTTAGACAACGTACCTTGACCCCTTGGAAGAGTGACAACGTTGCACGCGGGTGGCACGCCGAGAAAAGACACCGCTGTCGATATGTCGCAATACCAATAGTTTGCACTGCGTGGCAACGTCGCTTTTTAATGTTCAAGTATTCAAGTTCATTGAATCATTGACTTAGTGACCCAATTCTATAGAGTGTTCAAATTTGCTTAAAATTAAAACTACTTTTGACCTAATTACTGGACCGATTACGTTCATTTTTTTGTATATCGTCAGCAAAGGCGATAACAAGTATATGGTTTCATTTATTGTATATATGTGGGACCCATTCTGTATATATATATATATACATATATATATATATATATATATATATATATATATATATATATATATATATATATATATATATATATATAGATCTCTTTACGGTAAATGTTGATCAGACGCGACTTCACGCGAGCACTTTGTTGATCCAAAAGCGCATGTTGACCCGGCGCCTTTTGTTGATCCAATATGCATCTCTGGTAACTAATGTGGCTCCGACCGGATCAACATCTGCACTCACGAGACTGTTTGCCAGCGTTTGCCGAAGTTGATCCGATATACAAATCCACCTTGCGATGGTTACGGAAAATGTTGATCCGATTTAAATGAGCCAACCAGAGCACAGCAAACGATAAGATAAACGATCGGATTGGCTGAAAGCAGCCGCGACGTTGCCGTTTCGTATCTTTGGCGGTACAAGCTACAGATTTAATGCGTGTTCAATATAATAATGTATTCTGGGTGCTGTTGGGTCTGCCTCGTTATTGTAATGCGCGGGGTATGTTTTGCGGATGTGCGTGTGAATTGTTTCTACACCACGATGCATAAACGATGCACATCCCTGTTGCGCAGGGTGCGGGCCAGTTCGAATGGTATCCTGAGGGCATTTTCTGACAGGTTTGAGGTCAGTACCTGAACCATTGTCATATGGTACACGTGCTGACTAATCGGGCTTGTCTTAGATATAGTTTTAAAATTAAGTAAATAGTTTTAAGTTTTACTAAAATTAGTTTTAAGATATTTATTATTACTAACATCTATGACCCTTGTGGTCGAAGGAAGGACAAAGCCCCTTGTGTAGCGGAAGTGGCGGAAACGGCGACATAAGTTATTCGTCTGAGTGCATGTTTGTGTGTGTGTGTGTGTGTGTGTGTGTGTGTGTGTGTATGTGTGTGTATGCGCGCGCGTGCGTTAGTGTGTGTATATGTGTGCGCGCGCGGGTGTAAGCGTGTGCTTGCACACGTGGGTGTGTGAGTTTATGTGTGCGCGTGCGTCTGGGTGCATGTG